CACATTCATTTTTCATTCAACAGTTCATACACATTTTGTTTTGTGACAATGATTGCAATCCCCATGCTGTAACAGCTCTCTTTCCACTTCCTCCTGGTGGTTACCATTTCTGTGTCCTTCTTTCCTATGTATCCCTGCCCTCTGAGCAATCCCCCTGCGCAAATGCTGCCCTTCTCATCTCCCATGATTGATTATTCTAATATGTGTACCTCTTGTTGTTGTTAAGTGCCATCACATTGGCTCTGATTCATAGCTACCCCATGTACAACAGAATGAAACGCTGCCCAGTCCTGAACCATCCTCACAATCCTTGCTGTGCTTGAGCCCATCTTTGCAGACACTGTCAGTCCATCTCATTAAGGGTCTTCCTCTTTTTCACTGACTCTGTACTTTAACAAGCATGAGGAGGAGTTTACCTATGTAGTATAACTGTTCACCTCAAAGGCCTGTCTAATGTTTGGCTGGAAGTTAAGTCATGGGAATGAGTTCAATTCTACACCCTAAGGTTGACTACTGGCCAAGTCTCAGGAGTTTCACCAGTCTCTATCAGAGTGGTCTTTTTTGCTTTTAATTTTCTTTATAGTGCTTTTTGACAGGTACAAATTTTAGATCTCTATGTAATTAGCTCTTTTCATCTTCTTTTATGGTATGTCTTTATGTGTGCTTATTGAGTCTTTTACCCAAATTTAAATTTTGATATTTTTTATTCTAGTACTGTATTTTCTTCTGGTTAATTTATGTTTTCAGTTTTGATGTATAAAATTTTAATCCATCTTGGATTTAACTTAATAAATGATAGATAAGGTAAGGACCCATATTTTCTTTAAAGTTAAAAATTAGTATACAAGAAAAAAATAAAGTGGGCTTGGAATTTCCCAATTCTATAGTCATAAACTTTTTCCCACTTAAATTTGTTTTTCTGTATTCAAAAATAGTTTGTTCAGAACTATAAAGACTTTAAAAAACACAAACAAAATATAAATACACAAGACAATTTTAAAAAGGAGAAAGATATTTAGCTGGAAAATAGTCAGGGGATCTCCATAAACATTTATGCTATATAATGCATGACAATTTATGATAAAAATTAAGATATCAAAATAATGTCTTCAAATTCAAAAAATGTTTAATGACATGAGAAAATACAAGAATGGAAAAAGAAGCTAAAACCTACCACACACACACACACACACACACACACACTCATATATGTCTAAAGAATAATATATACCAAAATGGATTACTATTATAAGCAGAGAGAACAAACATTTAAAGAATGTTTAAATTGCATTTTTCACAAATCCCAAGTTCTCCTGACTGGCCACTCAATCTATAGTGCCCACTAATCCAATCAGGCCAGCTGAATGTGGGGCACTGTCCTTCCTCACTGGTCCATCTATCCCTCCCAAAGATGCCCACTTTCCAAAAGGATGACTTTGCCAGACAACGGACCACTACTGAAGGAGAAATTAATTGCACAGCTTTCTTCTAGATCCCTGTTCTGGTTACCTAGTGCTACTCTGACAAGAATATACCACAAATGGGATAGCCTTAACAAACAGGAGTTTATTCTCTTACAGAGACTTTAAGTCCAAGTTCAAAGTGCCAGGCTCTAGGGGCTGGGTGAAAGCCCCTCAACCTTGGGGTCCAGCTCTGCCTCCTGCTCTAGGCCCCCTGGAGCAAGAGGCTTTTCTTCACTCAGACAGCTGATGGCTGCTGAGGCTGACAAGCCCAAGGTTGACAAGTAAAAAGCACAGTCCCAATGTTACCAAACCACATGGCAGGCCATTATTTTAAGTCCATTGAAAGTCCCAAGGTAAGCAGAGCATGGCTGTCTGCTGATGGCGACACAGCTACATGCAGGGTCCAAGTGTGCCATAAGATAGATACTATCCCCAAGGCTTCTCCTTATACACAGGAAGCAGACCACATCCCAAAGGCAGCTACCCAGCTGCTTGTGGTAGATCCCACCATGGAGTTAACTGCCAATCTCATCATGGGGAATAAGTACCACTAGCTGCCCAGCCACTCAACCAGGCCCAGCCAAGTTGACATACAAACTTAACCACCACAATTCCACCCCTTGTCAACTTGGCACCTGTACAGATCTTCAATAGGTGGCATCTGTACAAATCTCTTCACTGGGTGACTCCCTAATTCCTGAGTGGCAACCTCACCCCCTTGGCCTGGCAGGCCCTGTTCCTCTCCCTCTTGGGCATGGCAGCCATGCCCCCTCACTCTTGCTCAGCAGCTATGGCTCCATTCCACTAGCTCACATGAACTAGCAGCTCCACACTCCAGAACCGAGTTGGTGAAGGTCTAACTGTTTGAAACCTAGGGGGCTATGATAGTTCAACCCCAAAGGCCATGGTGCTACCCTTTGAGGCTAAGGCAGCTCTGCCTCCCATTTCCTTAGTCTCTCTGCTTCTGTCAATTAATGCCCGAGGCCAACCCACTCTGACAGAAATCTTTCTGCCCAAAGGACACTTAGCTTTCTTGCTCTATGGGCTGGCCAACCTGCTACTCCATTTTATGCCGGTCTCTTCACCAATTAATGCCAAAGGCAACCCACTCCACCAGGAAACCACCTACCCAATGGCACCCGGCTTTCTCCTCCGTGGGCTGGTAAGCCTGTTGCTGTTTAATGCTGGTCTCTGGGTTCTCTTATTGCCATCTTTCATTCTGGTCTCTCTGCCAGTCTCTTGGGTCTGCTCCTGTCATCTCTTATGCCATGTGCCGGGGTCTCTCTGCCAGGGTCTTGGGTCAAGGAAGCACTCCACTCCTGTTTCCACATTTTAGGTATCTGTCAGAGCTGCATCCCACTCTCTCGGTATTCTGTTCTGGTTACCTAGTGCCACTCTGACAAAAATATACCACAATCGGGATGGCCTTAACAAACAGTTTATTCTCTTACACTTTGGAGGCTTTAAGTCCAAGTTCAAAGTGCCAGGCTCTAGGGGTTGGGTGAAAGCCCTTCAACCTTGGGGTCCAGCTCTGCCTCCTGCTCCAGGTCCCCTGGAGTTAGAGGCTTTTCTTCACTCAGACAGCTGCTGGTTGCTGAGGCTGACAAGCCCAAGGTTGACAAGTAAAAAGGCACAGTCCCTATGTTACCAAACGACATGTCAGGCCATTAATTTAAGTCCACTGTAAGTCCCAAGGTCGGCAGAGGATGGCAAGCTGCTGAACAACGACATAGCTACATGAAGAATCCAAGCATGCCGTAAGCTAGAGACTATCCCCAAGGCTTCTCCTTATATACAGGAAGCACACCACATCCCAAAGGCAGCTACTCAGCTGGTTGTGGTAGATCCTACCATGGAATTGACTGCCAGTCTCATAATGGGGAATAACTACCATCAGCTGCCCAGCCACTCAATCAGGCCAAGCCAAGTTGACATACAAACTTAACCACCACAATTCCTGAAAACCTCACGTTTGAATGTAGATCAGGAAAAATTCTAGTTGCTACAACTCTTCTCTCCTGTAAGCCAGAGGAAAGATTCAACATGTGAAGAGGTAGAAAGTGGAGGAGGGGAGGGGAGGAGCCAATGCCTCTCACTGTATCATCGGATTTGCTCATCAACACATCACAGGTCACACTCAGAGTGTGTACAATCTCTAGTCCTTATGCAGGTGAATTGTGTTGAGATTCTATGGGATAAAGCAAATAGAAATCAAATCATCATATTGTTTTGAAATTCCAGTTAATTTCAGGGGATATCATCAAGCTCAAATTCAAGCATAACTGATTTGGTTCAGCACTATGTCCAGCACAAGATCTTGAACACAACATGAGTAGTGAATTTTGATCTTTCCATGTTTATAGGCAGACCTATTGCCAGTCTTCTTGTAACTGGGGAAATTATGGTAACCACAAGACCACCTCTGCTACCTACCCCGGTGCTGGACCTCTCCAGATGTGGCATAAGCTTTGGCTAGTAGTGCACTTGCCTCGGCGGTTTTCGGGCTGACTTCAGTGAAAACGGACACACAGATGGTATAGGCCTGGGATACAGAAAATCATGACTCAGTACTCAGTAAGTACTCAGACAACAGTGTTTCAGTGTTTATGTCTATGTTCTTGAGGGGTTTTCTGTGGCTAGTGGCTCTCATAGAATTGCCAGTTTATAATAGCTAATATATAGGTAATCATGGAGTTAGACGACTGATAGGTTTGAGCTTTGGTTAGTAGGGAACCATGGCCTTGGTAGGGATGTTTCCTAACATTTCTCCCAAATGTGATATTAACAACCTTGACTTGTGAGACTGTCTGTATGTCTTTCCTCGGGCTCACACTTTTCTCACCTATGCTGTTGGACTACATTGCACCTTTTCTATGGTACAGAAAATCCAATATTTCCATTCTTTTTTAGCTGTGGAAGATACTTGAAGGGTTCTCATTTGGACGAAAGAAAAGGTGAGTTTAGCAGTTCAAGGGCAGTTTCAAGTATGCAATACATAAAAGCACCCTAAACGGTTTTCAGATGATAGAGTCAGCATTCCTTCCTAGGTTTTGTTTTCTTGTGGGCATCCGTCAACTTAGCTACCTCCAAGTGAAACATCCTTTTGTTATTTTGACCCTAGACTTGGAAATACAAACAGGTAGACTAGCTTAAAGGGCAAATGGCAGCATTATGCCAAAACATTTTTCATTTAAAAACCCCTTTATGTTTTGCTGATGACCTAAGTTCAGTTGTCCTTAATGGCTTTTTCCTTGGGGTGGAATGACACCAGGTTTCCTCTTCACTCATACTGTAACCTTGATAGAGCTGTGACAAGGAGCGAGAGGGGAACCACTACCTCACATCAGGTCATGCAGCCAATGCACCCACTGTAAGACAGTGTTCTCTGCCCAGGTCACTTAAGGTTGAGGAAGGACTCTTGCGTGGATCTGAAGGGAAGTCAGGGTTAATGTAGAATCAACCCCACCCCCTTGCTCTTCTGGAAACCCAAGGTTCCCTGGCCCAGGGAACTGGCCTGGCCCCAGCCACCCCACCAACCTGTTCCAAGTACTGGATGGCCTGCCGGTGATTCTTCCTCAGCTGCTCAATCTGAGCAATTTCCTCATAGAGACTGATCAGATCGGACGTCTTTTCGCCCTTGGCAGCAATGACATTGCCAATTGCCCTTTCAAAGTATGTCAGGGCTAGGTTCAACCTGTGGATGGCCAAGGAGGCTCTAAAAGAAAAGGGATGAAGGTGGAAAGTGACAGAAAGACCACTTACTTTACAGACACAAAAGTTCTAAGAGCTAAACAATATGGCCTCCACAGGCCAATCATCTCCAAACCCAGCCTTGCAGTAAAGAGTAAACTCACATTACCCTGCATTTTACCCAACTGGTTCCATTCATTAAACCCATTACTGCATCATGCTATAGTCTAGTTTTATCAAATTACAAAAGGAAGACAAATGGTTTCCAGCAACTCACAAGATGCAACTTTACCCATTAACACAGATTCTCTAAAAACAAACATTTATTACCTCTGGCTCCCTCTCTTTCAGTCCAAAGAAAGTTTGTGTTTTGTTTTGCTTAATTTAGTTTGGTTTATTCTTCCTCAGTTGAAAATAAGAAAGGATAGAGAACACAACATAAATATTCCCCAAAGGGGGCTGGTTAAATAAATTGTGACATAGCCATACAATAAATCCTTCACAGACATTAAAAACAAAGCTTTCTTTTTAGATTAACACTGTAGGGAGATAGTAAAAATGTGCTAAGTATAAAAGCAAAATAGAAAACTGTACCTATCACACATACACACACACATCACACAAAGATTAGGAGGAAAAAGACAAAATATCCAAGACAGTTATGTCTGGATGGTGATATTACAAATGACTCTTCTTTTTCATACTTGTCTGTATTTTCAAATTTTCCACAACAAAATTGAGAACATGCATTTTAAAAATGAGCATAAGACACTATTTTGTTGCACTTATCTTTCTAGAGACAGCAAGGCACAAGAAAATGAGTAGCACAAAATTCTATAGTTACCTTTATGAGCATTCTGGGAGCCTATGTTCTCTTCCAAGTAAAACATGGTGGTGATGGTTTCTGTGCGCCATGGAATCCACTCCAACTCACGGAGATGCCGTGGGTGTCAGAGCAGAACTGTGCACCGTAGAGTTTCCCCCATAGGACTCTTCCCGCTAGAGGGCTCTCTCCCCCATGGGGCTCTCCCCACCACGGGGCTCTTCCCCCCACGGGGCTCTCCCCTCCATGGGCTCTTCCCCCCATGGGGGTTTCAACGGCCAATTCTTCAAGAAGTAGATTGCCAGGCCTTTCTTCTAAGGTGCCTCTGGGTGAGCTTGAACTTCTTATCTTTTGGTTAGCAGCCAAGTACATTAACTATTTGTACCACCCAGGCACTCAAAACAAGGTTAAGAATATCTAAATCTCAAGATTATTGTGAAGATACATAAAATCACCTGACAAGTGGCAGATATACAGTCAACATTATTTCCCCCTCACGTACCTTGCCTCCGTCTTTGTATTCCCAAGTTGAATTAAAAATACATATATGTGTACAGCTTTGTGTATACACACACACACACACACACACATATAATTATTTTATATGAGGCATTCCAGCAACAGTTACTTTTTTTTTTAACGTTAGAAGGTTTATCTTTCCCTCAAAGATTAGGATTAATAATCAAGAGAGCACTGTTATGTTACCTGATAATTTCACAAATCTCTTTTGAGCAACCACACCACATAGAGAGATATTACTCAAATTGTTTGGCTTGAACAATCTTGCTTTTGTTTCCCCATCCCTAAAATGGGAGAACGGACTTGCCCTTACCAAATATTTGGTCACTATTAGACATAATTCTCTGTGGTATAGAGGTGAGCTATGGCCTCAGATGCCTCAATTACAATCCTAACTCTTCTACCAACTAGTTGGCACATTGGGTTGCTTAAACTGTGTCTTAATTTTCTTATCTGTGAAATGAAAATAATAAAAATGCTTACCTTACCAGCTTGTGCTGATGAATAAATGATAAATCATACACAGCACAACAGTATCTAGTATGCAGTTAACAGTAGCTACGGTGTAGTTTTGGGAGCTCTGGTGGTGTAGTGCCTAAGGCATTTGACTGCTAACCAGAAGGCTGGTGGTTCAAACCCACCAGCTACTCCTCGGAAGAAAGACGGGGCGATCTACTTCCATTGAGATACTGCCTTGGAAACCCAAGGAGGGGTCGCTATGAGTCTGATTTGACTCGACAGCAGTGAGTTTAGTTTGGTTTTTTAGTATGTAGTTATATTTAATGCACACTGTAACACTTGGAACAGTGCCTGCACAAAGTAGGTGCTCAGTAAACTGTGTACAAAGAATAAATTAAACAAACAAATAAAATGGCATTTATTCTGAAAAAGGAACCAGGCTATCTTTCACATGGGCACAAAACCTTAGTCACCGACCCATGTAACAGCAGCCTCTAATTTATGGTCCTGTGGGCTTCGTCAATACTTTGATTTAGCTCTGGGCATTTCAACATCTCCCTACCACTTCCCACTTGACTGCTAGATTCATGGTTGTTTCCAAGAGGCAGACATGACATATGCATTTCATTTATTTCATTTACTTGCCATTCCATCATCTGCCCCACTGTGCCAAGTACTTACAGTTTTGGAAACAGACTGGTTTCAAGGATGTAAAGATATTTGAAAAATTTAGGGAACAGTAAGCCTTTTATTATCTTATTTTATTTTTTTCTGACAATCTGATGGGCCAGCTCTCGTTTCTAAATATTTTCATTCTCAGAGGATCCCTAACTGAAATGCAAAACAGTTAAGTCTTGTTCTGGCTTGAAGAAATGCCGTGGACTTTGCTTCTACATGGAACAGAACTTTCCTTAAAAATGCACGTGTTGTAACTCACTTGTCACTGAATGTACATGTAGAAACTGTTGAACTGGTCTATGCTTTGCTGTGTATGCTGTCAACAACAACAAAAAAATCATTATTTAAAAAATGTATGAGCTGTGCATAGCTTTCATGGACTTCCAATAAACTGTTTTCATTAAGTGCTCTTTCTTCATCTGTGAAGATGTCACATTTAATGACAGCAGTAGGTTACAATAGAGAAAAAAAAAAAGTAACACAGTTCTAGAATACATGTGAGATGTAGTATGAAGAAGGCTTGAGCCCCTGAGTTCATGGATCCAACAGTTACAAAATATGTCATCTTGGACACTGTTTAACTTCAACTTCGGTTTCCCTGCTCACTCTAATGGGATGATAATTGCACTGACTACCTCAGGGTGGCTGTGAGGATTAAATGGGGCAGTGCACTTAAGGAAGCTCCAAGCACAGCATGTAACCAAAACCCGCTGCTGCAGAGCCAATTCTGACTCATCACAACCCTACAGGACAGACCAGAACTGCCCCAAAGGGTTTTCAAGGCTGTAAATTTTTATGGAAATGGACTACTACATATTTTGGAGCAGCCAGTGGGTTCAAAGCACCAACCTTTTGGTTGGCAGCCAAGCATTTTACCCAGGGCCCACTTGCACAATGAAGACATTTAGTAAACACAAGCCTCGTTGATTCCCATTCCAGATTCCACCTTTCCCCCCAATCTGTCTCCCCTTTCAGAGTATACAGCGCACTCCTGTAACGAATGCCTCACTCATAAAGCATAAGCGTCTCTGAGACTGGAGCTTACCTGCCCAAAGCAATTGTTACGTCTTTCTCTGAGACTTGCAATCCACAAATGCTCCCCGTATGCAATTCTTTCAGCTCCTTCATGCTTCTTTCTGCCTTCTGCAGGTTGAAATAGGCCTCCCTGCCAGTGATTTAGTTGAGGAAAAGGCCAGGCACACAAAGTAAGTCCACTGGGCAAAGAGAGCAGTTGATAAGCAAACAAAAGGGTCCTGTGGGCAAACAGAGCATTTAAAGATGGGCACTTAACTAGGGTCTCCATTCTCCAGCCTCCACTGTCAACAAGGAAGAGTTCTTTAGAAAGGGCAGGGCCCTGGGTTCCTGTGGTGACTGGCTGAACCCTGGGCTGGGGTGAATGCAGGCCCGTGAGGATGAATAGAAACTGTAATTACACTAATTTCCTTCAGAGGCATCTACTGCACGGTAGCAGTTACTCATTTTTGTCAAGTTGGTTCCTATGAATAGAAAGAGAGGGACTAATTCTGCCGAAGGGCTTTCTGGCCATTTGGAAAGTCCAAGCAAAAGCAGGGTAGTTTGAGAGACAAACAGCAGGAAAGAAAGTCCCCTTCATTTCCCAATACCTTCTAGTTCCCTCCTTCTCAGCAGCCTCCTGCTGTGGGTGGGACAGCTGAAGGCCACAGGTCACATTCCACAAGCTGGTCATCTGTTTAGAAGAGACACTGGGGACATGGGGCTCAAAGGGTGCTCACGATTGTTTGTGAATATGAAATGCCCGTAAGTTTTCAAGCAGAGATGGTCCCAAAAGCCTGCCAAAATCACAAGCATTTTGAGGAGAGGGATGTTTAACAGTCCTCCTCTGGAGACATAGAGAACTATTTCTTGTATCTATTTTGCTTGGCCTCTGGCTTCATGAGCTGTATTATCAACAGCATTTCAAAAAAAAAAAAAAAACTGAAATGATCGTTACAATAACCTGAGGAGATTTTAAAAATCCCAACGAACACACATACGTCAGACCTATGAAATCCACATCTCGGGGGTGGGACCCAGACATCAGTAATCCTTAAAGCTCCCCAGGAAATTACAGTGTGCGGCCTTCTTGTCCAGCAGTGCTTTAAATGACCACCCGTTGTCTCCTCTCCTGCATTACCACCAACCAGTCACTCATGTCCTCATCTTTCTCCAACCTGCCTCCATATCACTGCTAATACTGATTTTCTTGGATACATTCAAAGAGTAGGGCAGACTCAGAAAACTTTCAACTGGCTAACTGGGGCTAGAACTGTGCCCCCAGGGAAATCCCTTCCATAGCTCAAGTCAAAGAGGATACAAGTAGACACAGGAGGGAAGTTCAGACCTTTCCAGGTGGAGATGAGTGGTTTGGTGATGGCTTGAGTCTGGGAACCGAGCTACAGGGTGCTGGCTCAATCTCTCTCACCCTTGGTGTAAGAGGACCCATCTGACGTGTGTGACTGACAGCCCTGAGCACCGGACCCCACAGGGAAGGGAAGGATATTGGTTCTGCAGGAGCCAGGCCACTCCCAGAGTGTAGTAGAGGATGATCAGTGTTTCCATGATTTCTTTCTTCTCCTTATTTGAGGTCGTTTTTACCTTCCAGGTCAGCAGTGTGGTCCTGGCTGACTCAGCATGTTTCTTGGCCTGAGCGGGGAGGCCTGGGGAAGTTTGAGGGTGGGTGGCAAGAAACAAAGAGTAAAAAGACATGATTCAGTGAAAGACCCTCCTGGGAGGACATAAGATGGGTAGCGTGATAATGATATGGTCTATAGCAATGGCTCACAAACCCAGCTGTGCCGCAGAATTATCTGGAAAGCCTATGAAGAATACTGATTCCTCAGACTTACTGAGTTGGAACTTCTAGACCATTGGCCCCCAGCTGTATTTTTAACAGACTCCATAAGTGATTCTTAGGCAGCAACTGCACTGGTGGTGGACCTTTTGGAAACCACTGACAAAGACGGGAAGGGAAGCTTAGCGTCCCATTCTCGGTGCTGACGCTAATGCCGTGGGACCTTTTTAACTTGCGAAGGTTCTTCCATGCTCCAAATGTTGAGCAACGACAATTGCTGAAGTTGCTCCTTACGAACACGTAGAATTAGCACGGGAACCAACCAGGCTTGGCCACAGAGTGCTGTGCTTTGAGCTTTCTGGAAAATGCAGCCTATATATACAAGCACTTATGATTGCAATTACTTCCATCTGGAGACTTCGTCAGTCCAAGATGAAGCTAGTGATAGTAATTGGTCACATACATAGAGAGAAGCCAATTTCTAAATGCAGTGAGGGCCTCACTAAGAAGACAAAGGGAAGGCAAAACCCCAGCTGAGAACACTTGTGGGGTTTTCCCCTCTTGTTTTCTAACTAAAGGAGGGTTTTTCTGGGCACTTAGTCAAGCTGCTATTTGTCCATTTAACAGAGAGTGACCTAGGAACATTCGGTTTACAGGATTGTTCCCTCAACCTCCAGCCTCACTTGTGTCTCATGATCCCCGGGGGGAGGGGAAGAAAAAAGCTTTCAGAGAATGTATCCTAGGAGTTACTCTCCACCTTCCTAAAAACAGTAATGGCTGGTGTTCACTTCCTGCCTCTTCTCTTCAGACATCCCCCATTGCTAAGTAGGCCCACCACTCAGCTGTTGGTTTGTCATACTGTGGTGGCTTGCATGTTGCTGGGATGCTGGAAGCTACGCCATCGGTATTTCAAATACCAGCAGGGTCACCCATGGTGGACAAGACAGGTTTCAGCAGAGCTTCCAGACTAAGACAGACTCAAAAGAAAGATGTGGCTGTCCACTTCTGAGAAAACTGGCCACTGAAAATGTTAGGGATAGCAGGGAAGCACTGTCTACTAGAGTCCCAGAAGATGAGCCCCTGAGGTTGGAAGGCACTCAAAATACGACTGGGGAAGAGCTGCCTCCTCCAAGCAGAGTTGACCTGGATGTGAATGGAGTAAAGCTTTAGGACCTTCATTTGCTGATATGGCATGACTCAAAATGAGAAGTGGCAGCAGCAAACATCCATTAATAATTGGAACGGGGAATGTACGAAGTTGGCCCAATGTGCCCCATCCTGATGCCATATTCTTCCCTTCACAACTCCAGCCCCATGTCCTACTCACCTTGCACTGCCTCTGGCCCATGGCACTTGGTTTCACAGTCAGAGTGAAAGCCAACAGCAGCAGGGCTCGTTTGAAAGGACTTGCCTTTTGATGCCTGTAGCTTCATATGTTCCAAGTATGTGCTGGACCTCCTTAATGAATTGTAATAATGAGAGGGAACAAAGCGTTCTCTGGGAGAGCCATAAAGAAGTCTCTGTGGAACACTCAGAGACATCAGGGTCTGTAGGTCTCAACTGGAGAGAAAAATAGACTGCCTCTCCAAGGAGAGGGCTGTCATAAGTTACCAGATAGCAGTGGCTCTCCAACTGACTGTGAATGCAGATTCCTGGGCCTCAATTCACAAGGTCAAAGGTGGGAACCAAGAATTGACATCTATAACATGCACCCTAGGTGATACTGGTACAGGTAATTGAGACTCACACTTTGAGAAAAACTGAGTTAGTAACATCTTCTTGCAGGAAGTGGGGAGCCCTTCTAGGGCCTGAAGAAGGTAGTAACAAAGTAAAAGCTCACAGAAAATTCTGCCTGGGACATCAGAGGCTGGAGTTTCTACTTCAGAGACTAAGACAATAAACTAGGAAAGTAGGGGAGTCTTTTTATCAAATAGGTTGTTCTGGTACAGTGAATTACTTGGTATGGCTTTTCTAACCAGTGTTTGTAACTCCCACCAGATTACTGGGTGGGACCATGCAAATAAGGTGTATGGAATTCTAATGTGAGGATTGGTTAGTTTTGCCATGCTGCTAAGCTCTAGTAGCATAGTGCCTAAAGCACTTAACTGCTAAGCAGAAGGCTGGCGGTTCAAACTCACCAGCCACTCCCCGGAAGGAAGGTTGGGGAATCTACTTCTGTAGGGATACTGTCTCAGAAACCCAAGGAGGGGTTGCTATGAGTCAGGTCTGACTCAATGGCACATAACAACAACAAAGACAGAAGGGAGGATCTCACTGCCATCAAGAAAGAAAAGCGGGAACTGGAGTGGAGTGCATCCTAGGACCCAAGATCCCTGCACTGGACCTCCTTGGCAGAGATGCCCTGGCAGAGATGCCTGGCTGAGAGATGGTCGCAGTGGAACAATGAGGCATGAGACAGAATGGCAGGCTTGCCTGACCCACAGAGTGAGAAAGCTGAGTGCCTTTGGGCAGGACGCTTGCTGGCCGAGTGGGGTGCACATAGGTATACCTCTTGTCAGAGCTATAAGAATTTTGTAACACACTTACCCAAGCAGGGCAGGCTGAGAGGCCAAAGGCTAGAGGCATGCCTGAGGGCATAGCATAGCACAGGGTAGCCTGTCCTGATCCAAGAACTGTATCCTAAGTGCCTTCCTGAACCTGAATTTTAGCCTGTTATGTCCCTAATAAACCCCATAATTGTAAGTATTGTCTGTGAGTGCTGTGTTGCCATTGCAATGAATTATCGAACTTAGAGAAGTAGTGAGTGTTGTGGGAGGAACAGCTGGTGTCAGAGTTAGTAAAAAGATTGGAGGATGGTGGTTATGTCTGGACTGATAGGAATAAGCCTTGGGCTACTGATGGTGACTCTGTTCCCCACTCATGAGATTGAAAGAGGTCAGAGGATACTACCTCAGTGCTCTTTTTGCAGTTGTTTTCCACAAGAACCAGGCAGCCTTTGGGAACATGTCATTAAGAAGGGCAGCAACCAAATTCAGATGCTTCTCTGGAAACTGGTATCATATACAGGGTCAGCAGGAGAAAGAAAGGACCAATAGGAAGAGCTACAAAAACCATTCCTGAATCAGCTCAACTACCCCTCTCGGCTCACTGTTGTTGCATGCCATCAAGTCGGTTCCAACCCTGGAGTCGATTCCGACTCATAGCAACCCTGTATGACAAAGCAAAACTGCCACATAGGGTTTCCTAGGCTGTAACGTTTACAGAAGCAGGTCGCCAGGTCTTCTGTGGAGCCACTGGTGGATTCAAACAGCCAACCTTCCAGTTAGCATCTAAGGGTTTGACCACTGTGCCATGAGGGCTCCTTATGGAGTACATACAAGAGGTAAATATATAGACATCAGAATAGTGGTTTACAGGTGGGAAGGAAGGGAAAATGGGAGCGATTACTGTTAGGGAAGCACTGAGCTTTTCTTTATGGGGATGGAAAATTCAGCAAAGGACCCTGGTGATGGTCACACAGCATGAGTGATGTAACTGATTCCACTGAGCTGTGAATGTAAAACCTGCTGAACTGGCAACTGTGGTTCTGGGAGCAGCACATGCAAATGTAAGCGAACATTCTCATCTCTCTCCTGGGCTTCTACAACAATAAAAAAGGCAAACTAATAGCGTCTATCTTGATGGTTGTTGCAAGGATGAATTTAATTAATTCGTGAAAAAGGATTAAACAGTGCCAGGCACAGGGACATGAAGTGATTCTGCATAAATATTCACTATCATCATGACTATTACCAGGGCCTCTTCCTCTTATGAAGCAGATCACTGTATCTGTCCTTCCTCTGGACATTTTTCATAGCCAGTGAGTGCTCCTCATAGCCACCTCAGTGCTCTTTTTGCAGTTGTTTTCCACAACCATTTCATCAATTCCTCTACTTTAAAACTTTTAAACTTCTTACAGAATCTCTAGAGAAGAACTGCACTCTCAAACGCACACTCGCTTCACATGGGTGGTAGGCTTCTCGCAGGTCAGAGGACCTGGGTTTTATCATCCTTGTCATTTCATGTGTATCAGTTTTGTTTCCTGCAAGCCAAAAAAGAAAGCAGAATTCATGACTTCATGCTCCTGTACTTTCTGATGCCTGAAACAGAGTCCTGAGGACCTGGACAGTTCCCAGTCATAAGAGGCAGCTTGATTAATTTATTGCTTCATTAATAATAAACAAAATATCTTCAGCCAAAATAAGGCCAGGAGCTGACTGTGTATTAACTGTTCATATGCAAGTTCAAGCTGAAGCTGAAGACTGTTAAGACAAGTCCATGAGAGCCAAAATATGACCTTGATAATATCCCTCCTGAATTTAAAGCCAATCTGAAGAACGGATTTGATGCCATGAACATCAATGACCAAAAACCAGATGAGTTGTGGAATGACATCAAGAACATCATACATGAAGAAAGCAAAAGGTCATTAAAAAGACAGAAAAAAAATCTTTCTGACCACAATGGATATCAGAAGAGACTCAGAAATTTGCTCTTGAATAGAAAGTAGCTAAAGCAAATGTTAAAAATGACAAGATATGACAACTGAACAGAAGATTTCAAAGAGCAGCTCAAGAAGACAAAGTCAATTAGTATAGTGAAATGTGCAAAGACCTGGAGTTAGAAAACCAAAAGGGAAGAACATGCTTGTTATTTCTCAAGCTGAAAGAACTGAAAAAAAATTCAAGCCTTGAGTTGGAATATTGAAAGTTTCCATGGGCAAAATATTGACTGATGCAGGCAACATCAAAAGAAGATGGAAGGAATATGCAGAGTCATTGAACCAAAAAGAATTGGTTGATGTTCATCTATTGCAAGAGGTGGCACATGATGAACTAATGGTATTAAAGGAAGGAGATGAAGCTG